TTATAGTACAGGGGAGGTTAAGGGCAGGCTGTGCGTGTTGGTCCGTGCGCAGCTGGTCTGTGCGCAGCATGCCGACGCGGCCCCGGGGGCCGGTGAGTCAGAGCGGCTGTGTCAGCGGAGCCCGAGCTGTGCCGTGCGCTGCCGCCCCATCTAATCTAATCATACAGTAGATAGTGATGCGTCCATATCGGGCAAGTAGTACAGAGGTCGCGGGTTCGAGCCCGCGAAAAGGAAAAATTAAAAAACGGCTAGACGCCATACCAACTCGTGACATTACCCCCCCCTCAACGGCGCATGACCTCATGCGAGGCGCCCTTGCCCATCTCCCACCCGGAGCGGCATCGTGCTTCAGTCAGCGGCGAAGGTATTGGCTGGAAGTTGAGACCACCAAATGTAGCAGCGTTGAGTCGACGAGGGGCGTTCGGATTCTTCCGGTGGAAGTCGGCTATGAGGGCCGGCGCATTGGCAACGTTGCGCGCCGGTTCCCATGACGTATGTGAGTCGTCATAACCCTTCCACTTGACGAGGTACTGCAGCTGACGCCGGAAGATCCGCGAATCCTTGATCCGCTCAACCTCATACTCCTCATCGCCCTCAACCTCGATTGCAGGTGGCTCCTCCGGCTCCCGGCCCGGGATATCGCTACGCGTGTACTTGCTCAGCAAGGAGACATGGAATACCGGGTGCACCGGCACCGACTTTGGCAGGACTAATTCATAATCCAGGTCTCCGAGCTTTCGCCGCACGGCATATGGTCCAAGGCGCTTGGGACTGAGCTTCTTGCTCGGCTGTTTCAGCTTAAGGTTCCGGGCATCAAGCCAGACCTTGTCCCCCGGCGCAAAGACCGGTGCCTCCTGCACGTGCTTGTCGTAGTACACCTTCATGCGCTCGGCCGACAGCTCGAGCGCAGAGCGCGTATCGTCGCGAATCTCCTTCAGGATTTTGAGCCGATCAGCGGCTGCAGGCATTGCCGACATCGGATTGATCCACACTTGGATCTCAGGATTGTACCCCTGATGCAGGAAGAAAGGGGAGTGCCCGGTCGCGGAGTGAACTCGGTTGTTCAATGCGAACTCCGCGAGCGGCAACTGCTTTGCCCAATCATCTTGCCTGTGGCTTGTGAAAGCGCGCAGGTACTGCTCGATCTCCTGATTCCAGCACTCAGTCTGGCCGTCTGTCTGAGGATGAAACGCTGTAGACAGCGCCGGCTCGATCCCGAGTCCTTTGTACACCGCATGGAGATATTTTGAAGCGAACTGGGGACCTCGGTCTGATATGACCTTGGCCGGGGCCCCATGATGCTTGAACACATCGCGGATGTACAGGTCTGCCGCACCTTCTGCCGTCAGGGTCTCATGGCAGGCCGAGAAGTGGACCTGCTTTGTGAAGCGGTCGGCGGTGACCAGGATCGAGTCAAATCCATCAGACTTCGGCAAGCCGACGATCATATCCGTGGTGATGATCTGCCACGGGCGCTCGGGGATCTCGTTCGGCTTCAGCGGACCCTGGGGTTTGGCTGGGAATGTCTTTGTACGGTTGCACACGTCGCAGGTGCTTATGTACTCATTGACGAATTTAGACATTCCTGGCCACCAGTAATTCCGCGATACAAGCTCCAGGGTTTTGGCACGACCGCCATGACCGGCGATCGGCGAGTCGTGGTGGATCTTGACTATATCCCGCCGGAGCTCCGCGTTCTTTGGGACGTACACACACCCGCGGAACAGCAGAAGCCCTTGTTCGGCATTCCACTCCTCAAAACCCCTTTGCAGCCGGGGCGGCCCGAGATCCTGCACCTTTTCAAGTGCCTCGGCCACCTCCCGATCCTTCTCCGAACATTCCCGGATGCGCTTCAGAAGCGACTGATCAGCTGTCACCGAGGCATGGCCGCGCCTGGCGGAGGCGATGCGGAAGCGCTCTGGCTTGAGAACTACCTGATCGGTGTTATCGTCCTCATCACCGATCTGATGGTCTGATCGGCGCGATAGGGCATCGGCCTTTCCGTTTGACGTTCCGGCCTTGTGTGTGATGCGGAAGTCGAAGCGAGCCAGGAACAGTGACCATCGCGCTTGACGGCGCGTGAGATGCTGGGATGTACGCCAGTACTCGAGGTTCTTATGATCGGTCACGATCTCGAACTGATTGGGTAACCCCTCGAGATAGTGGCGCCAATCGTCTAGCGCCTCAATGATCGCGAGCATCTCCTTATCGTAGATCTCGTAGTTCCGCTGTGCCGGATCCATCGCATGGGATCTGAAGGCAATAGGGTGCCATTTGCCATCATCCTGCTTCTGCATCAACATGCCGCCGGTGGCGTACCCTGAGGCATCGACTTCAATGCGCGTTTCCCAATCAGGGTCGTACAGCGCCAAGACTGGAGTTGTCGCAAAGAGCCGCTTGAGCTCATCGAAGGCATGCTGCTCTTCCTCGCCCCAATGCCATGGGTCGTTCCCTGTGAGTCGGTCGAGTGGTCGCGAGATCTTAGCGAAGTCCTTAATGAAGCGGCGGTAGAAATTGGAGAACCCCCGGAACTTCTGAACATCTTTTTTGTTCCGGGGTACTAGCCACTCATTGATTCCTTTCAGCTTCGCGGGATCCATCGCTACCTCATCGCCACCGAACACATAGCCGACGTAGTCGACTTTGGGAACGTCCCACTCACACTTCTCGGGCTTCAGGAATAGATCATTGTCCTGAAGGCGGCGCAGAACCTCGCGTGTGACCTTCTCATGTTCCTCCTTGTTGGTAGAGAAGATGAGTATGTCATCCAGATACACGAGGATCTTGCCGCCGACGATGAGATCGTGGAAGATCTCGTTCATCATCGCCTGGAAGGTCGCAGGGGAGTTGGTGAGACCAAAGAACATCACCAAGGGCTCGTACAACCCTCGGTTGGTCACGAAGGCCGCTTTCCACTCGTCACCGGCTTTGATCCGGACATTGTTGTATCCCCATCGGACATCGAACTTCGTAAAGAGCGTAGCGCCACGGAGCTTGTCCACCATTTCGGCGATCAACGGCAAGGGATAACGATTTTTGACCGTGATTACGTTCAATCGGCGGTAGTCCTGCACGGGTCGAAGTGTCCCTTCCTTCTTTTTGATGAAGAAGAAGGGGGACGAGATTGGTGACTTCGACTCCCGTATGTAGCCCTTCGCTAACTGCTCCTTTAGGAACTTATCCAGTTCCTCCTGCTCGTTGTTTGACAATGGGTATACCTTTGAATGGAACGTGGAGTAACCGGGCACGAGTTCGATTGCATGATCGTACGGCTTCCTTTCGGGCAGCCGTTCTGATGCTTCCTTGGAGAAGACATTTAGGAACTCGTGGTACTGCTTGGGCACCGACTCCTCAGCGGTTTTGACGACTTTCTTTTTGATTTCCTCCTCAGCAAACAACTGGGAGTACGTATGCCCAGCTGCGACGAACAGCTGAGGGGCACCAGGGAGTGTAATACCTTGCTCCCAGGCCTCAATCAAGTCGGCTTCGTCCCACTCTACTTCCACTGGATCTTCTTCAGGTTCGAAGTCCGGGAGTACCTTACTCCGGCAAGCGCCTATAACTGACCGTTTGGACTTCGGCGAACGCCTGCACGCCGTGGGCCTGACCCCCGTATCACGCGCAGTCGCTGCTTGCTCCATTCGACCAGTCCTTCTGGTACTGCACGTTTCCGGGCATCGCGACAATTTGAGGGAGCCTTTCTCCCAGTCAATTTCGGGGTTGTGCTCGCGTAGCCAATCCAACCCAATGATCACATCCTCTGGACCAATGTCCGTGACCGTAAACACTGTCTTCTTGACGTGTTCTCCTATGTGCATCTGTAGCACTGCTACTTCCGAGATGCTTCCGTCTTTGTTTAGGGTGCCGTCGATATTGTATAGCGGAATCGGTTCTTTTAATTTCCGCGTTTGCACC